ACCAGGGTCAGGTATTCCGTTAAAGCCACGAGTCGGGTGACCATAGAAGGTCTTTCCGTCACTAATATTTCCAGGAATGCGCTCAGAGGAGTGATGCCACACTCCTGACTCGAGATTGCGCGCCGTCAAGGCCTCTGGCCTACTACTTACAGCGATGGGTTCGTTTCATCAGCTGGTCCCGCCCACCGCGGGATGTGGTGCGTGGCTGGCCTAACGTGTGAGATCAGCTAGGTTGATTGCCGTATCAACCGATGGAACGGCTGGCATATCCGGAAAACTCGTTTGGACGGATCAGCCGATCGGTGACTCACTGCAATCGAAGACTTCTGAACTGATTACTGTAGCTTTTGCTACACTTCTAAGATAGAAGACCTGAAGTTTCCGAAGCCCATTCTGAGGTGTTTACTGCCATTATCGGAGCGCATTTGCTTTCGTTCTCTTTTGGGAGGGAGAGTGAGCCGGTGTGGCTGACTGGGTTAGAGATTGCGCAGCTCTATATCGCAGATCCGCACTGGTAAAGCGTTATGAGCGACGTTCAGATAAAAAAGGCAGCGCATTCGGCGTTGATTAATCACTTATCATTAGGCGCTACGCACTCTACCTTTACTTCGAATCGTAGCGACATCTTATAGGGGTTTGGCTAACTGGCTCGCTTGAGTCGATCTAAAGACAGTGTTTTTGTCTTATAAGGTCAGTCTGATACCAATCAACTGATTTCTGAAGGTTGCTCGCCGCTGGCTACTACGCCGCTTCAGCCAAGAAAAAATCGGCGCTCATGTCCTTAGGGGGGACATTCAGAGCAGAGCATTCAAAAACCGCTGGTAGGTGACACTAGGACTAAGCCCAGGACTGGGAATAAATACAAGTCCCAAGTTCTATCAGTGGCCCACTCATTTCAATGTCCCCCCTAATGACATGAGCGCCGAAAAATCTACTCTCAGTTTGGAAGAAGATCACACATATCATGTTGTAGTGGGCTGTACTCATCGCGTATGCAAGGAATTCACGGCAC